CCGCATTCTTGAGATGTGCAACTGTTGTATTGAATTTTGTTCCCCTCATAAAACTCTGTTACAATTTTTGGAGATAATACTAGTTTATTGATACAAGTCTTACTAATTAATCCATAGCTGGGGGTAGAAGAGATATATCCATCCCTTTCTCATGGGTATTTTCACGTAAATGAATATAACGAATCCAACTGGGATTGGAACTCAGTTCTCCAATTAACGATTCTGAGCCATTATCTATTACACCACCTGCACATCCAAGCTTACAGCACCTGGTATTCCCAAGCGGTCACCCATCTAGACTTTCTATCTGGTAACAACCTCTCCTGTAATGGGCAAAAGAATATAAGCCAAACCTTTGAAGTTTACCCCTTCATTTAAACTGAATATATATTTCTAATAAATGTAGCATTTTAAATGGACAAACAATTCAGATTGGAAATTTGATTATCTTATTGTCAAGTACCAAACTACAAACACTGATATCATAAAGAGTCAATGACAGTTCTCCAGCACAAAATAATATTTTAAAGATTCAGAAAATCATCGATTAAAATTTCTTAACCATCAGTTTAAAATGGGATCTACATTTCCCATCTGGCTTGGCCCTAGTCCCACCTGATTTGGTTAAGTTCACCAACTCTTTAAAATTAAAATGTAGTAGGCAGTGGGTGTGTTGGTTGGTTTGCTCTGGTATTTCCCAACCATGGGCCTACAGACCCACAGAATTGAATTAAATTAGCTTCGTATTTTTGAGCAATAGCTAATTCATATGTAGCAGATTATTATTCAAGATCTATCATACTGTCAGTGCAAAATAACAATTTATTTATAATTTTAGTGTGAATGTAATTGTATTTTAAGAAAAATATAAAAATAAAAACATTTTTGATTTTTTAAGTTGTGCAAATGTCTACAATGCATCTTAAACATGTTTCATTCAAGGTTAGTAATTTATTTGGAAAAAAACATCAAATCAAACGAAATTGACCCACAGTAATTAAAAAAATTGTCTTAAGAAAAAAAAGGCAAAACTTACACATAGTTTTTTTAAAGAATCATCAATTCTCAAATTGTGTGATAAAAACATGGTCCTGCAAGAGTTAACTTATTTCATATTATTATCGATTAAGCACTCCAGATTATGAATTTCAATTTTTTGACATTTTAAGAAATCATGCCATATGGTCATATTTTGTTTTGGCTTCCATAGCCAAATCGATTTTCAGTGAATTTACATGTCAAACTGGACCTCCTATTAACTTTTATCAAATTTTAATATTTTTTTCTTTTGATATTCATGATCTGGAGTGCTTGAAAGCAATATTGAAGAAAAAAAAGATTGTTTCTGGTTGCATTGTTTATTAATGTACAATTCCAACTAATGTTTGTATCAATAATTTTTATATATTTATCTCACATAAATAAAGTAGGGTTCAATGATTTGCTTATCGACCCGATCTTCTTGGTTGTATGTGTAGTGGACCGAGTGGGTTTGCGAGTTGTTAGGTTAGAAACGCGTACTGTTTATTCCTGCTAGAAGAAGGTCCAACTACAAGATCATGGCGGATTCAAGTTGAGTCCAACCGAAGATGTAAAACAAACAAGACCGATATGTATATACCAACAAATGTATTAAACAACAAATTTACAGGTGACAAAGACATCAACATTTGTGATTGTGTGTGAACGTAAAGAGTTTGTATTTTGGTGAATGTTCGTACGTACGTATATGTGTGTTTCATGGCGTTTTCCCACAAGTGGGTAAAAATGCTGATCTCTGTGAGAGATCACATTTATAAATGTGTTCGCTGAAATGCAAAGTAAAAAGAGAACGAGGCAAGAAGTCGCCCAGTACTTATAGTGTAGGGAGGGAGAGCGACCCCTAGTGAACAATTAGAGAATTAAGGAGGAGCTAACTCCGACATATGCATGCTGATGGGCATTGATACTGTTGCAGATGTCTCTCGCCGCTAAAAATATAACCTGTTTAGTTCTCTTTCAAATAATTCTGCAGCAGTTCCTCAATTATGTGGACACCTTGGATCGGACAATTCAAAATTCTGGTTAACTGAATACTTAAATTGTCAAAAAAGAATGAAGAAAGAAATTTTTAACGTAATCAAATAACATTTTCAAACATTTTTTTTTAAAAATATGTCATTTTTTGTTTCTGGTTGGCTTTGTGTCGACTCCTGAGGTTTTTGGTTGAAAGCACGACCAACTTAAACATTTGTCAAATAATCTAATTATTGTTTCAGTGATTGAAATTAGGTATTGAGGCTGTTAAACTTCAACATGGCTAATATCATTATTATCTTTCTTTCCTCTTCAACATTTTCTTTGTCTAAGATGAAGTATTGAAAATGAATTTCGTTCAGATAATTGAAAAATGGTCGGATGATTTCATTTTTCCTCCTCATTTCACATCTGGATAACAGAGGAGATACTCTAGTCAGTAATAATTATCTCGGGAGTTGATTTCACACATTCTCTTTTTTATTGTTTCAACATTCAAATGAAGCAATATCATTCGACCATAAGTACAAAAACAAGTCATAACATGGCTCAAACTTACCCTGTTGTTGAAAACAAAATAAAATAAATAAACTTACCCTGTTATTAAAAACAAAATAAAAAATAATAAAAATATTATAAATATATAATAATAATCTAATCATTTTCTACAAGTTTTTAGCCTCCAGACGTAACCATCTGCCTTGTCTTTCTCCTGAATGCATATCTCTATTGTAAAAGCATTGCTTCTGTTTTAAGAGTCCAATACGAAGAGCAGAGTCTCGTCTGGGGTGGTAGACAGCTACCCGGCCCCTTTTTTTTTACGGGGTCTATGGGGAATTTTTGCCTGAGCCTATGGGCTTGGATACCCACGTTAAATTCGGCCTTGTGCCACATCTGGCCATGTGGGGCGGTTGGCAAATATCGTTAAGAGTTCAATAGTGCTATATGCACCTTTCTATAAATTTATTCTGCTGTAAATGTAATCTGTCAGGCTCCTGATTTTGAGCTCTTTGTTTCGGCTTCCTGAGTAACCATTGCAGACTCAGCGAAATAGCAACGGTTTAACGCCTTTAAGCATCGGTTGGTCAAATTATTTTTTAATAATATTCTTGTAAATAAATTGTTCAACTTTCTCCACCCCAAAAATCAACAACAACAACAAAAAAAAGTGAGTGAACATACTTCCTATTCAGTCGGAATGTGTCTGGAAAACCATTTCAAGTTATAATTTGGTTAAATTATTTCAGAGATTTTTAACAGATTCACTGAATGAATAGGAGCTAATTTACAAATGAAACGTTGGCTTGAAATGAGTTTTAGTCTCAAATCATGCCTCCTTAGAAAATAAGTAACTGCTGGTAATATTTAACAGCCTCCCCCACCACGAGGGATCTATGTGGCACAAAGCCGGGTTTACCGTGGGTTCTCCGAGCCCGTAGGCTCGGCCAAAAATATTTCCTTAAAACCCGCATAAACGGGTTCAGGTTCTGTCTACCCCCCAGAATGAAACTTTGCCCTTCGGCAAAGCCTTGTGGAATCTTCCACATTAGCCTTTAACTCCTTTCAAAAAAATGTATTCTTCTCTAAAAAGCCTTTAGCCAATCATCATCTCGTTTTTGCAAATTCAATCTTTTTATTGGATAATAAGCGCCAAAGTGTAGCAAAATTCCAAACGAATCCTATTTCCCGCCAAGCTCTTTGGAGCCGATTTTGCTACATAAAAATGTATAAATTTAACCGCATGACTCAATTCAGACAGTCAGCCACCGAATTCCAATGAGATTCCACGTGTGACCATTCACTGACTCACACACCACATTGAAATCTCAACAAACTCAGCAAACATTCATCAACCATTTCCCGCGTGTTTATCAACATCTACAGTTGACTTGAAAATTGAAACAATTTCACTACTAAAAAAGTAATTGTATAGTTCACCAACTTAGCCTAACAGTCAAAGGCAAGCAACTCTTGATAACATTTATTCTTACTTGTAAATTACACACGTACACACACCAATAAATAAACGAACAAAACAATTTTAAATTCACCAACAATCAAAAAGTACCAACATTTCTTAACAACATTCCCGTACAAACATTTCTTATGACATTATCTTAATTGTCACAACAGCAAACATTGTAATTATCGTTACATGTATATTTTATTTTTGATAAAAAATTTCTTTAATGTTAAATCTTCAACAGCAGTATTTAGTATTTACTTGCCATGCAATTTGTTTCTTAAGTTGTTTGTATAACCTATATTTTGTGGGATACACACACTAAGCACGCATAACCTTCACCTTATTTAATTTTGCCTTCTGATATATTTCACTCCGTGTACATCCTGCAACAGCCTCGTCCGGGTTCCTCTGCCAAGGCAGAGAGTTTGACAGTAATGAACAGTAAGAGCACTGTTCCAACTGCTGTGAATTCTAAGAATGTTCTTTTTTAGACTAGAGACAGTTAATATTTTTATAGTTGTTTTTTGAAAACCTTCTATTTCTCCATGTTTTGGTAAAATCTCCGTTTTTCTGAGGTTTGAGATCTAAATCTTTAGGTTTGAAGATTTTTAGGTTGAACGGTCTGTTGCCAGACTAAAAAAAAAGAAGCGTAATTTCAGTGAAGAGAGATTTTTACAAGTATACATGCGGTTGAGCCAGAAGGTTGTCCACCATTATTTTTACTTTATTACCAAATATATTCACTAAAAAGTAGTTTGTTTAGAAGACCATCTCTAAATGAATTTTACTTAGATTCTCATTTAAGTACATCCAGACTTGTAGAATTATGTCAGAGTAATCATATTAAACGTCTCCCCGTACTGTAGAGCAATGGTTAGTGAGGTAATCTTGCCGACTCATGACACTGTGGAATCAATCGCAAGCTAAAATAAATACCATTTAACATTATTCTTTTTTCTGTATATTTTCATTAACTTTTCCATGTTTTCTGTTTTAACCCATTTTTCTCATCCCACAGGTGGTCACTCGAATGAAACAAGCTTGCAAAAACTATGTAGCCTGGAAGCAAAAGAATCGACCATTTTACCGACCATGGATTTTCCCAGAACAGAGTACACTGCCTCGTCTCCAAATGTTACATATCAAAGACTTTTCAAGCCAAGAAACGCGCGAAATTGTCGATGAAAGTAACTTGTCAGAAGCAGACTTTGTAGAGGAAGAATTATGAGAAAATGGAACTGATAAAAAGAAGAAGAAGAAGCAGAAGTGTCCGATAGTCAGTTGACAACTCATCATCGTGAAATGGAAGCAAAAAAAAAAAAAAAAAAGGAAACACACAGAAGTATAAGGGAGATAACTCTGATTTTCCTCTACTCTTTTTTGTGAACACCATAAAAATTCACTTAAAGCCTCTCTTTGTAGAAAAACAAACATTGGAGGTCATATGACACTGTATTTCTCTTGTTTCGCTTCTATCTATCTATCTATCTATCTATCTATCTATCTATCTATCTATCTATCTGCTAGCACTGTTTCTTTAGCTAATCAATCTATATCTCATTGATTCTCACTTGCAGTAATTTTAAATTTTGTTAAAACATGGTCTATATTTGCTTCTCAAAATTTAGATATTTCTATGACAACAATTATTACACATACTCAGAGACAAATATTACTTGATATTTTGAATACATATGCAGAGAAGCTAAAATAGTTAACACTAGATCGACACCTCAAATTTATTTTATATTTTAATTAAACTGACTTCTGAATCATTGTAATTAATGTAATTATTTTGAAGTTTTTAAATGTTTAATCAAGTGGCATCTACAATCAGGGAAGATAACTAGTAACGTTAGACAGTGATATTTTCATTTTATTGTATTTAGTGCACAAATTTACATTAAATTAAAAGAAATGGTAGATTTACATTATTCGGAGTATCTTCCTCATCTTTGTTGCCATATTTATCACAACATGTCGGTCGTTGTACACTCCGGCCTTCTTTGGGTGGTTGGAATGTCGAACTGAACACTTTATTTTACTCACTGAGGTTGACTGTTCTAGTTCCACATGCCATGTCTAATGGATGTTAGTTATCAGTTATATCCTGTTAATTCCCCTCTCCAAGTCCTCCACTGCCTTAACCAGGTATTGAACTCACACTGTTTAGGTCCTGTCAGTGAAGAACTTGGAGAGGGGAATTAATAGTCTACTCCAGTGAGCAAAATAAAGGGTTCAGTTCGACATTCTATCCACCTGAAGAAGGCCGGAGCGTACAATCGCTGAAACATTGTGATAAATATGGCAACAAAAATCAGGATGATAGTCCAAATAATGTAAATAGTGTACATAATACCTCATCTCAGAAATATAGACAGATACCAAATGGTAGAATGTTTACAAGATTTATTTACAGTAATGGTAATTGTGAGAATAGCTGATTCCTTATGAGGAAATATTTGATATTCATTTACCAAACAGTTAGCATTACTGTCAGCTGAAATTTATAAAAAAACTTTTTCTTAAAGGTTTTTAGAAAAATAGCTTTCTCAAGTCTATTAACTGGTATTTCTCTTTCTAGTATTGTGAAATTCTTTTCCAACTTTTTTTTGAAGTAGAGTGTCAACATTTTGATTATGTGATTATTTTCTCTTTGAGTTACATTTGCTATACATTTTAGTTGTTGCTGCTGTTGGAAATCCTCAAGTGATGTGGTTTCTGTTATTTGGTACAATTCTTTGTGATTCTGTAGCACCAGTCCAAAAGGTTCGAAGAAGAATGGTCCTTGCTAAGACCTACAGGGTTCATTCACTTAAAACCTGTTTTTAATCATTGATCTGAGAAAGTGGTTGTAAACAGTTGAGAGTTAATACATTTCTGAATGGGCTGAATGCCATGAAAATCTGGATCTGATGAGGTTATTTAAGAACATGATGCAAGTTCTTAAGTTAATGTTTTGGTTTTGTAGTGATTTATGGTGTAGAGTAAGACTACCTATAGCAAAGCCTATTCTATGTTCAATTTCCTTAACTCCTATACTAAATGTATTATAGCTGATCCATACACTGGGTTATCTGAAGTGTTTAGTATTTATTAATTCCACACTCTGAATGTTGATGATGGATTCACAGTAAGTTTAAATATAAAATGTTTTGAAACGGATTGTCATAGACAAAGGTGAATCAATTTGTAACCTCACAAACAGTTATCACCTTCATTTGGATCTGAAATTTTCACTGTATATAACAGAGTGTATTTACTCATGTTTTCAAAAATTACCATCACAACGATCACAGTTACAATAAGTTTGTCTTTGCAATTCACCCCTGGCGATGATCTTGGAGGAGCTTGAAAGTATTTGGGTGAACAAAAACTACGGCGCCTTCCTTGATGAATTTCAACTTAATATCAAGAAGCTAACTAGAGAACTAGAAAGGATTATTATAAAAATAAATAGACATAATATGTCTATATTATTCAATGGAACATGTTTGAATGAAAATATGCAGCCTAAACATATATATATTAACAGTATGAAAATAGCATTCTCTAAATTCTTCCAGTTACTAAGGACATTTTGTTTTTGTTATTATTAGTGACTTTGTTTAAATAGATCCACATTGGACGAAACGTGTTGGCAACTACTACAGTTTTCCTATTGTCATTCATATATATATATATATATATATATATATATATATATACTGTAGAATTGTAATGACCAAACTATGCAGGTGTAGGGTTTAAGAAAGCTTTATTCAACTGATAATACAAGATTCGCATATAGACCTTTTATAGTCCCAGTAAACAGAAATAGCTCTCTCAAAGAGGAGAGTAACAAAATGAGGGGAGACCACTCTTTATTATTCATAACAAGTATTAAAGCAAATATAAAGTTTGTCACTTAGCTGATTTATGTTATTTTCAGCATCTCAACTCTAGAGTTTTGATGCAAAATATAAAAATTATACAGACAAAGCCAGTATAATAATATAAGACAAACAATACTCAGATATTACTGCCTTTCTGTGATTTAAAGTTTCATGTGAATGCCTATATACTTATGTGGCTATCTTAGAATCTTCAGGGGGTTCAAGTCACAAGATACTCAATTCTATATTCTAGAATATTATAGAATTGAGTATCTCATCTCTTGAACTGCTGGAAGATTGTGAGACAGCTGTGTAACTATCTAGGTGTCTACATGAAACTTTAAGAAAAAGTAATATATATATATATATATATATATATATATATATATATATATATATATATATATATATATATATATATATATATATATATATATATATATATATATATATATAAAAAGGAAGGGGTTATAGTAGTTCAATGAGAGAAAAGTGTGTATATTAAAAAGAAGAAAAAAGAATATTTAACATCAAGAAACATAAGAAAAATTAATTCCTTTTAATAATATGTGGAAATATCCAATCTTAGCCTAATGAAAGTTGCGAGAGTGGAAACACATGTATTATGAACAATAAAGCATAATATATTTTTAAAAAAAATACATTAAATATATATATTATTAGTATTAGTAGTAATCTTACAGGTATAAGAAACTACACTTGTTCGGAAAATCTTCAGTTTCTTGATTTGCAAATACTCAAACCAATAACAAAGGGAAAAAAAGGTATAAAAAAAGAAAGAACCAAGAACATGTACGTTAACCAAAAATAATCATCCAGCATGCAAGTTCAAAGCCTAAAGAAAAAAAAAACAATAACTAAATAAAGTGCTCAATACGGTAAGTAGAGCAGACCTAGTTAAACCTAGAGAGCTAGACAAACCTACCAGGTTTCACCTAAGTGGATCGTCAGGAAGGCTGCCATCCACTTAGGTGAAACCTTGGTAGGTTTGTCTGGCTCTCTAGGTTTAACTATATATATATATATATATATATATATATATATATATACATATATAATGTGTGCCTATGCAAAAATAAGTAAGATGCAGATTGCATATGTATATGAAATGAATGCACATAAAAATAATAGTTTATTTCATTAACTCATTGACTCTTGAGACTGGACCACTTGCTGAGATCCTTGGGCATTTTGGCAGAATTTCATTATTTCAGAAATGCCTTTCTAACAGAAAAATCAGCAACGCATTGTAATAAATGGCGTCTACAAAATGGTAGATACATACAGCTTTATTCTACTTACATGACAAGTTGTGTAATTCTTTTTAGTGATTAAATGCTGGAACATTGTAGTGATAAACAAGTATCAGGAGTTCAATAAGTTAAAGTTATATTGGTAGAGTTGTAAAGTAGTCACTGTGACCATAAATAACCATTTTCTTTTCATTTTTAGTTTTTTCATATTACTATAGATTAAGCACTCCAGATTATGAACATAAAAAATTTGTCTTTATTAAATTTTAAAATATTCAATTTTCTAGATAGATTGCTATGTAAATTAATTATAAATTGATCCCCCTATGAAAGCCAAAACAAAATATGCTCATACCATTTGATTTCTTGAAATCTAAAAAAATTTTTAAATTTGTAACCTGGAGATTTTTTTCATATATTGCAATCAATTAAGCATATCAGATTACAATTTTCAAACAAAAATTGATTTTTTCTAATATTATGAAATCCCATTGTATGAACATATTTGTTTTGATTTCTGTAGAGGGATCAATTTACAATGTATTTATATGGTAAACTGAACCCCCTATTAATTTTTCAAAAATTTTATAAAATCTTTTTATTTTTTCATGTTTATGATCTGGATGGCTTAATTTATAGTAATATGAAGTAATTCTGAAAAATGATTAGTTCTGGTTGGCAATCTCTATTGAACAATTCCACCGATATATTAAACTTCAGTTACTTATGTGCCATGTGTGATACACACTTAGGCAATCATGTATCTTTGAATACATGACTGACAAGGCAGATTTTTTCCTGCAGTATGCTGCCATTTCTTTCTGCGGCAGAACTGTTGCCATCCAAGGCTATAGAACCCAGACTGTCCTGCTATTTACCCATACCTGGGGGGAGAAGAAGAGGGTTCTTACCTTTCCCAAGGGTATTAGAACGTAAGTGAATAGATTCAACTGGAATTTGAACTCAGCTCTCTGATTCCTCAATCTGAGCTGCTATCCATAAATTTAATGAATTAGTTCTTTCAGCCCAAATGCTGAAGAGATTCAGTCACAGACCATCTTATAAATGTCTATTGGATGAAAACGAGTTGCATGATTGTAGAATAAGCTGACAAATACAACAACATAGTGGATTAAGGCATTGATTTATTAATTTAGTGACATAGTAATTGTGAGTTCAATCCCTGGGTCAGGCAGTGTGTACATAGTAGAAACAATGTGAGCAATAACTGAGCAGCACTAAATAAGAACTAAATGAGATATCCCTAGACATGGTCAATGGAATGAGAATAATGTATCTCCATAGATTAAATAAAGGGTTTAGTTCGAAAATTTCCTTAAGGTTACAGTAGTAATAAAATAAGCACATTCCATCTCCTCTTGCTTGTAACCATCCACTATAATAAAATAAATGTT